TACAAAATTCACTTCCTTTGAGTATCTATTCAATATTTGGTGGTAGGAGCCAAAATTGGGAGAACACCTGAACCTCACTTAGTATAGCCATGTCTACTTCCATCCATTGACCTACAAATTACTTGATTTCCTTTTCCTTTACCACAAAGTAGAACTCCAGTGTAAACGTAACAAATGTACAGGATCCACTAATAGATGGAGGGACATTTAGATTGTGCAAATGAATTTCAAAAAAATACAATAGTAACTTTTTTCTTGAATTCTAGTTTATTATACACTTACCTGAGATGTTAAATGTGTCTCTTCTGATGACTTGGGAGGACTTTGATTGAAACGAAAGCTCGAAAATTCTTGAAATTTCACTGCCAATATTGAAAGAGGAGTCACTTTATAAAAGTTGCATTTATAAGCCAGTTTTCAGTCTCAAAAATACATTGTGACATTATTTTGAGTACATATATTTTAATAGGAAAATTCATGAAGTGGTAATTATGTTAATTTAGTAGCCAATTTCAAAAATGTATGTAAAGAACAAAATATCACACTGTACCTCCTAAATACATATAGTTCTTCCTTGTCAAAAATTAATGGTGGAAAGGGTGGGTTTGGACCTCAATTGGGGTAGCAGCCTAGAGCTCAGCAGACTACCAGAGGGTGCTGGGTTATGGCCTCCCTCTGGCCTCCAACTATCAGAGGGCCTGAGAACCCAGGGGACTGCCTCACAGCCACCAGATCCTGCCTCCACCTGGCGGTGAGCTTCCCCTAATTGCGCCTTACCATCCCCTTACCTGGGATTTTGTGAGGCCCCTCTGAAGGCTCCAGGCAGGTCTGGCTTTGGTAGGATAAGGCTGAGATCCTAGCAGACAGCTTGAGAGGGTGGCTTTGAACCACCATTGGTGTAGTGACTGGGATTTCAGCAGACCGCCTTAGTGCTAATTTTGGCCCCCCTCTGACCTCACTCTAGCATAGGGTTGACAACATGCGGGACTCCGTGAGAGAGCCTGGATCCTGTCTTCATGTGGTGAAGGAATCCTGAGTCTACCTGACTGGAACCTGAATTGGGCTTCTGTGGGTACCCCTGAATAGCTGATCTGAAGTCATCAGTTCCCTCCAAAATAAATCTGAGAGAACCTGAACCCTGTACCAACTAGCTGCTTTACATAGCCAATAAAGAAAGGCACTTGGATAATACAAAGAGAAGCATACTTCAACTTAAGTCTTATATCAGAATCATAAACAACAAAGGAAATTCACATGACAAAATCATAATGAAAGAATAATAAAATGGAAAGCCAAAGCGCTTGGCTTTCACAAA